CTTCTACATGTATATAATCACCATTAGGGACTGCGCAATATCTATCAGGAGGGGGAGGGGGGGGGGGGCAAATCTAATTCTATGTGCTTAAATAGTTTAAGTAATTAAGTGAACAATGCGCTTAAGAACTAGGGAACTCTCTATTGTTCTGCGGCATTACAACTTCCCCACGTACGTATGTCTTGGTTTTCACACTGATTATGTATCAACGTATGGATAACACACTTTTGAAATAAAATGTGGAAAAAATCTGTTTTCAAATAAAGTTTCTTTTGTATTAAAAGCTCTTATCCAATCATAACTGAGCAATCAAAACAATAGCCAAAAGATGCTTTTAATTTGCTATGTACCCCATATTGAAGTCAAAGAAAGCTTTCATGAAAGTGAAAACAGGCATTAAATAAAATATTAGAAAATGCGCTAACTTGTAAAATTTATAGCAGATATTCATGTTTAACCAATGGAATGGATGTATTATACAATGGCACAATTAGCACCTTCTTGCATTCCTTTGCCATTTGCTTCCCTAGTTCTTACTCGGGGCATTACTAAACTAGAATTTTACTTTGCGAGTGGGGGGGAGAGAGAGAGGGGGGGGGGGGGGGGGGGAATAGTAATTAACCCAAATCCTTACCCCTGCCCCTACTGGTAAATATTGCGCAGTCCCTTAGTTTAGTTAGTTGTTGCGCACCATTTTGACCAGGAAGGAACTTGTCTTATCCTAATTTTCCGATATTTTAGGTATTACCTCCCCAACTTGTGTGGGGGTGTGCCACACGACTCTCGAAACCCTTACCCTATCCCAGACCATTTTTTTTTATTTGGAATAAAATTACCCTACCCCAGACTAAAGGGACATTGTTTTAGCGCTTTTTACTGGTATTTAAAATAATATGTCAAATAACTTTCTTGAAGCTTGAGGAAAAGACAGGCTCTTAAAGGGAGGCAGCTATTCGAGTAAATATGATAGTAATAATTATAATAAAATGAAGGCTTTGATTTTCATTCATCATCATCAGAAGAAAACAGCTCTTTCCTACTATTCTTCTTCATCACTGCTGTGTACTTTGTTGAGCTTTGTTTGAGTGTTTGGACCAATTCTTGCAGAGTTGAAGGGGATGGCATATTGAGAAAGCTTCTGTTTGTATATGGACTTGATTGGTTACTTCGTCTTGGCCTCAAATTATATGTATGGGATGGTGTTGATGTATTGGAATTCTGTTAATATTAGGAAAAAAAAACGTTTTAAATAATAAATCATTTATCATCACATGGAGACATTTCAGGACAGCTTCATGTTAACTAGAAGTGTATTTCCCTATCCACTAAAATAATGGACCCTATTTCCATGAACACTTCAGAACTTGCACAAAGCAGGCATCCTCAGGAAGGCAGGGATAATTTTCTGCTGTTTGTTTGCCAGGGGAAGAAGTGACAGGTGATCACCTCTGAAATGTTCTCAAAATAATTTATTGNGATAAAACCTACGAGCTACATAATGTTTCTCTTTCAAACATGTAGCTGATAGCAAACACTAAAAAGTGTGAACAAGTACCAACCCAATAGTGCTAAATGGTGCAATATAGTTATTAGATTAGACAATAGTAAACAAAGGAATCTGTATATAATTCAGTACAAATATTACTACTAGTTTTATAATTACTATAAAAGTTTCCATGGATAAGTGATTGTGCCACAAACACCTTAAAGTCCACCTCACCCAATTTTTTTTATATTTGTAAAGAAAAGACTTTTGTCATAGTAACAACAATTTGTACAAACAAATTTGATTTCGTTTATATAAACTACATTTTGAAGCGAAAACAACCGCGAACAAAGCCAATTTCGGGATTCCTGTGTGCCTGATCAATGTCTTCGTGATGACGTAGAGGGAGTAAGTCGTTCGAGAGACAACGATAGATACCTACAGTGAAATGACAGTAAAAATCAAATCTGAAACAAGAGAACCTGGAATTTGAACAGCTGTAAATACTACCTACATATATTGAAAGAAGTTACTTACCTGGGGCCGTAAATAACTTTTCCTGTTCCTCGATATTTATCTAGATCTATACGCAACACTTGTTTGTCCAGAATAATCTCTCAACACTTTGGCTCCATTTTTATAGCCAAGACATGAAATAACGTTCAAATCGTCAGAATAATCTCTAGTAGCATTAGATTTGCCGTTTCAGGCTGGATTATCCCACGTTCAGTCTTATAAAACATAGATTTGTAATGAAATATATGGAACTTGTACAGTAAACTTTGTATTTACCGAAGGACGAGTTACTCCATCTACGCCATCAACCCAGGCTCCCTCGCACTCGGCCAAAAATCATTTGGCCGAATTAAACGAGCATAAAAAATATAAAATTTGGAAATTCGAATTTTTTTTATGTGAATTTGTGGTTTATAACTCCTAAACTTTTTTTTCCAACTGTAAAAAAAATTGGGTGAGGTGGACTTTAACCATTACCATCATCATTCACTATGTTATTGTGAGATGGGTTTTCAAAGCCTGATGAACAGTACAGTTGTGTTAACAAAGAGAACGTGAAGCAGATTCCATGACTGGCTTGTGGTACAAACACCTAACCATCAACATTCACTATATTATTATCATGAGATGGGTTTTCGATGACTATTACAATGGGACAATATAGTAGATAACAGCTAGCTTTTTTGCTGCAGAGCTTCGGTATGGAAGCCATTTGAAAGATTGGGAAAAAGGCATACGCTATAAGTACATACACAACATGAAAATGTACATATGGTTTTTCCAAAGACATGTACACTCATAGACTAACTATTCTTGTATACTGGCATTATTATTAAATA